TCTTTCTTTTTTTCTTCTGTGATTTATTTACCTTCTGTAATTGAAACTCTGTTGCCAGCTCCCAGCTCGAGGCCGGGTGGCTGAAAGCAGGTATCTGGGGTTTGTTTAGCTTCTATAATTACAACATTGTTGCATAGACCGGAGCTCAGAGCTGGGCTGCAGCAGGCAGGGAACCTTGGCTTCTTCCATCACTGGAGCAAGCAAGCCTCATGTTCACTTCAGCTGCCTGGCTGCTGGCCGCCATCTTTGTTGGCAGTTAATTTGCATATTGCCCTGATTAGCCAATGGGAAGTGTAGCAGATGTATGGTTAATTACTATGTTTGTCTATTATTAGATAGGATGAGGAAACTGAGGTCCAGAGATATGAGTGATTTCTGATGATCTTAGAGCTATAGCAGATGGAGCTGGGAATACAGGTAGGCTAGCACATACGTCCCTATTCTTAACCTCTAGTCCTTTTGCCTCTGGTAAATGGATTACTACTCAGTCAATACAATAACAGCCTACAGCAATTATTCATTTCCCTCCACCATGTTATTATGAAAATGTTCAAACATCTGAAAAGCTAAAATCACTGTGCAGTAAACACTTGTATGCCAATCATCTAGATCAGGGTTGGGGAATGTCTGGTCTGTGAGCCATAAAAGGCCCCTGATGGTCTGGCCCTGCCAAGGCATTAGGGGTGAGTTAATTAAATGTTTGGCCAAATGTAGCAGGCTAATTTTTAAGTTGATAATTTTGTATGGCTCAAGAATCCTATCTAATAAAGAGGGAATATGCTAATTGACTGCCACACCCTCAAAGATAGTGGCGCCCACAGCCACAAGATGGCGATGCCCAGTCCCTTCAGCCCCCAGCCACCTAGGGCCAGCCCGAGGTGCAGGCAAGCCTTGGATGGTGGCTGTCCAGCTGCCCAGGGCCAACTGAGGCTCAGGTAACCAGGGCCAGCCGAGGCTTGCACTGCCAGCAGTGGCAGCAGCAGAGGTGCGATGGGGTATCGCCTTCCCCTGATCACTGAGTCGCCTTCTGCCCCTGAGGGCTCCCGGACTGTGAGAGGGTGCAGGCTGGGCTGAGGGACCCCCCCCTCCAGTGCATGAATTTTCATGCACCAGGCCTCTAGTGATGTTATACATATCTAAGTGGCCCTTGGCAGAAAAAAGGTTCCCCACCCCTGATCTAGGTTCTAAATATTTTACTCTTCCTGATTTATCACATATCTATCATCTGCTCATTTCTCTTTCCATTCAACACTCCATCTTATTTTTTATGCACTTCAAAGTAAGTTCCAGATGCTAGTATATTTCACTCCTAAAGACTTCAACATCCATATCATAACTGGAATACATTATTTTTACACTTCTTATTGCTTACTTTTGAAATTAAATTTATACATAATAAAAGCCACACATTTTAAGTGTACAGTTCACTGGGTTTTGGCAAATGTGCAACCCAAACCTGTATTAAAATACAGGATGTGTTCATCACTCTGGAACATTTCCTTATGCCCCTTCCCAAACAAATCCCAACCCACCCTCGATGCAATCACAGTTTTGATTTTTCCCCCCCATGGATTAGTTTTGTCTCTTCAAGAACTTCATAGTAATGGAATCATCCGGTCTCAGGAGCCTTTTGTGTAAGGCTTCATTTGTTCAGCATAATAATTGTGAGGTTCTCCCATGTTACTGCAATTAATTTTTTAATAGATAAAGCCTTTGCATAGCTCAAAACAAAGAAAGAACATGTTGTGAGAGGTCTTGCTTTCAGCCTATCTTCATCTGACCTTCTCCCACTCCCCACAGATAACGGCTTTACTCATTCCTTGGGTGTCCATCCCGGAATGGTTCTCAGCCTTCCTAATGCCATGACCCTTTAATTCAGTTCCTCATGTTGTGGTGACCCCCAACCATAAAATTATTTTTGTTGCTACTTCATAACTGTAATTTTGCTACTGTTATGAATTGTAATGTAAATATCTGATATGCAGGATGTATTTTCATTGTTCACGACCCACAGGTTGAGAACCGCTAGATTCTAGGGTTTATTTATGCCAAGACAAACAACCATAAGCATACATTCTTACCTCTCCCCTGTCTTAGAAAAGTGTGCTTTACTGTGTGCTCTGTTTTGCACTTCGCTTTTTGCACTGAACTATTCATTCTGTTTCCACATCGATGGATAGAGAGCCTTCCCTTCTTTCTCACAGCTGCACCCTTCTTTATCGCATGGGTGCATCATAGTTCATTGAACTCAATCCCCCATGGATGGATACTTTGCACTTGATGGCAAATGGCACTGCAGTGAATATTCTCAGACCTCACTCATTTTATGAGTGTGCAGGTGGATCTGTGAGATTAATAGCCAGGTGGATTAAAGCAGGTGTTCTTGAGATCTAGGGGGATTGAGCACAAACTAAGGGGGGCTTCACATCCCTTGAAATTATGTGCAGAATTTTGCACATGAAAGAGGGTCCATTGCTTTTGTCAGTGACCTGACACAAGTGTAAAGCTCTTGGTTGAATCATGGCAGGATGGCCACAAGATGTTAGGAGAACAAAGGAGTTCATGAAATGGTGGCATTAGCATGGTCTCATTGTTTTTAGAAAAATATAAAAGTATTTAAAGGTAGAAGACAAAAATATTTCAGGATTTATAAATGGTGTGTGTGTGTGTGTGTCTACAGCAATATGGGTGATTTTTCTTTTCTGTTTTGCTCATACACATTTTGGAAGTTTTCTGTAATGAACAAATATTACTTGTATTACTTAAAAACTAGAGGCCCAGTGCACAAAAATTTGTGCACTCGGCAGGGGTAGAGGGGTCCCTCAGCCTAGCCTGTGCCCTCTTGCAGACTGGGACCCCTCGGGGGATGTCCACCTGCTGGCTTAGGCCTGCTCCCTGGAGAATCAGACCTAAGCTGGCAGTCAGACATCCCTCTGGCAGCCTGGGAGACCTCAGGGGATGTCCACTTGTCAGTGGGGAGCAGGCCTAAGCTGCAGTTGGACATCCTTAGCACTGCTGAGGAGGCGGGAGAGTCTCCCGCCACCACCGCTGTGCTGGCAGCTATCAGCCTGGCTTGTGACTGAGCAGAACTCCCCCTGTGGGAGCACACTGAACACTAGGGGGCATCTCCTGCATTGAGTGTCTGCCCCCTGGTGGTCAGTGTGTGTCATAGTGACCAGTCATTCCCAGTCTTTCTGTTGTTAGAGTAAATTTGCATATTACCCTTTTATTATATAGGATAGAGGCCTGGGGCACAGGTGGGTGCCGGCTGGTTTGCCCTGAAGGGTGTCCCAGATCAGGGTGGGGGTCCTGCTGGGGTGTCTGGAAAGCCTGGGTGAGGGGCTGAGGGCTGTTTGCAGGCTGGGCACAGCCCCTTCAGGGTGGCGGGGGGGTCCCACTGGGGTGCCTGGACAGCCTGGGTGAGGGGCTGATGGCCATTTTCAGGCTGGCCATGCCCGTGGGCTGGAAGAAGATATCTGGGATTTATTTAACTTCTATAATTAAAACTTTGTAGCTTTAAACAGGTCCCAGGTTGGGTTGCCCCTGGCAACCAAGGCCCCCAGCCCCTCCTTGAGCAGAGGCCACGCTGGCTGGAATCAGGTATCTGGGATTTATTTATCTTCTATAATTGAAACTCTATAGCCTTGAGCGGAGCTCAGGGCAGGCCAGGGCAGGCGGGAAGCTTGGCTTCCTCCATCGCTGGGGGCAATGCAAGCCTCCTGCTCACTCCAGCTCCGTGGCTGCAGCCATCTTTGTGATTGACTGACGGAGTGAGGAGTGATGGTTAATTTGCATATTACTCTTTTATTAGATAGAATGGAGATCACTGCTCCTGCAGAGCAATAGATTTGAACAGTGATCCCTGGACTGCTAGCCTATAAGTGTGGGGCCCCAGGCTGTCTCGGTCACTGCTATGTCCACAGCACTGCCTTGCACAGACCTGGATACACAGTAGGGCTCTTGGAGGTTTTGCTGATTAACTGAATGAATGAATGAATGAATTATTGTATCTTCAGACCACCATTCATGCTGTTCCTTCTGCCTGTTACTCCATTTTTATACCCCATACTCTTGTCTAAGATGAGAATATGTGGAGAAAGCATAAGAAAGATGCTCAGGAAAAGGAAATGGGTCCAAGGGACAGAGGGACATATTCCTTATCTCTGGCAGACTCTCTCCACTGGGACATTTGTGAAGAAATACTCTTCCTAGTCCCTATTTTCATGGCTCTCTCTTACTAATCGTTTACAGCTCAGCTCAGCTGTCACTTCCTCCAGGAAGACTTCCCTGACCTGCAAGGTTGGGTCTGGCCCTTTTCTAGGTTCCCACAGCCTCCTGTGCCTTCACCCCAGCCCTGCCCATTCTGACCTTTCTAGTGAAATGTCTGTCTTCACCATTGGACTGGGAGCCCCATGAGAGTAGGGTCGGTTGTCTTGGTCATCGCTGGATCTCCATGATTTCCCAGCACAGGCTAGGCAGATAGAGTGCCCAGTGAGTGTTTACTTGACAGGGCAGTGCCCTCATTCACTCACTGAGTGCCTGCTGTTCTACCAGGCATTGTTCTAGGCACTGGGAATGAAGTAGGGTTCAAAGCAGACAAAGATCCCTATCTTTGTGGATCCCTGGCAGTCTATGGAGTTAGACAGATGACACGTGCAAATGATATATTAGAAGGTTAGAAACTATGAGAACAAAATAGAGCAGGAAAGAGTTGTCATAAAATAGGATGGTCAAGTATGGCCTCGTTGAGATGGTAACATTTGAGGAAAGCTTTTGTAAGAGGCCAGGAAGTGAGTGATGTGTGCGTCTAGCAGTGGTTCTCAACCTTCCTAATGCCTCAACCCTTTAATACAGTTCCTCATGGTGTGGTGACCCCCAACCATAAAATTATTTTCGTTGCTACTCCATAACTGTAATGTTGCTACTGTTATGAATCGTCATGTAAATATCTGATATGCAGGATGTAGTTTCATTGTTACAAATTGAACATAATTAACGCATAGTGATTAATCACAAAACAATACGTAATTATATATGTGTTTTCCGATGGTCTTAGGCGACCCCTGTGAAAGGATCATTCGACCCCCAAAGGGGTCGCAACCCACAGGTTGAGAACCGCTGTCTAGGGAAGAACATTTTATTCCACAGGGATAGTAACAGCAAGGATCCTGAGGCTTGATTGGTGGCAGTGACAGGAGGGAGGGGCCCCACTGCAGCCGGAGCAGCGAAGCAAGTAGGAGGAGGTGAGGGTCTGAAGGCTGGACCACACGAGATGTGACCACTCCCCTCCCTTCTCACCCTTCTGCAGATTGACAACCAGCGCTCGCGCCTGCCTGCTTCCCTGGCTGAGGGTGGCCTTCGTGTGTACCAGAGTGGGAGGCGGGCCATAGTGGAGCTGGACTTCGGGCTGGTCGTCTCCTACGACTGGGACTGCCAGCTGGCACTGAGCCTGCCCGCACGCTTCCAAGGCCAGGTGTACGGACTGTGTGGCAACTACAACGGCAATGCCACTGACGACTTCCTCACACCTGACGGGGAGCAGGCTCCTAACGTTGTGGAGTTTGCCAGTAGCTGGAAGCTGGATGATGGGGACTTTTTGTGTGAGGACGGCTGCCAAGACAACTGTCCCTCCTGCACCCCAGGCCAGGCTCAGCACTATGAGGGCGACCGTCTCTGCGGCATGCTGACCAAGCCTAATGGCCCCTTTGCCGCCTGCCATGATATCCTGAGCCCCTGGCCCTTCCTGAAGGAGTGTGTATACGACCTGTGTGTGCTCAATGGGGACCGCTCCAGCCTGTGCCGTAGCCTCAGTGTCTATGCCCAGGCCTGTCTGGAGCTTGGCATCTCTATCAAGGACTGGAGGTCACCCGCCAACTGCCGTGAGTGATGTCCTGGTTGGGGCTGGGAACACATGGAGAGGGGCAGGGGACCCCTTACATCTGCTCAACGTCTGAACACTTAGTGTGGTTCAGCCTGGAGCTGGATCATGGTAGGGACATGGAGATGGCCAAGATGGCCAGGCTGTGCCCACAGTGAGCCTAAGGTTGGGGCAGACATATCACTTGACAGTGACAGTCCAGAATGGCTAGGTTGGTGGAGGCATAGACAGAGCGGTCAGGGAAAGCATGGGGAAGTCCAAGGGGTCTATGGGAGACTAGAGCGGTTTTCAGACTCAGTCTGGGGGAGTAAGGAGGATTTATTAGAGAAAAGGACACCCAATCAACAACCCATAGGAAGACTAGGAACTAGATAGGAAACGGGGAGCAGGAAGGGAGTTGCAGGCTGAAGGAAGAGCACATGATAAGCTTGGCATGAGAGGTCATCCTCAAAGCAGAAATGTGAACACTTCTCTATAGCCCTTCCATGACTCCCCAACGTCCTCTGGATAAATACCAAGCTCCTCAACCAGGTGTCCATTCCCTTAATCATTCTTTCACTCATTTATTCATTCATTCAACAAGCATTCCCCAAGTCCTTATCTGTCCCCATCTCCAAGCTGGTGATGTTCACCCACCTGCTCCTGCCCCTGTGAGGTTCTCAGGGGCAGAAAGGCTAGAAGGGAGGAAAGAAGAGGCATCCAGGCCCAGGCCCAAGGCTTGAGGGGGAGTAAGTCTGGAGTAGATACTGAGGCCATTTGGGGTTTGTCTTGGTCATTGTTGTGTCCTCGCTGCCCAGTTCTCACTCCCCTCTGCAGAGTTCCCTAATGCTTAGTGCAGAAGAGGAACCAGGGAGTTCACTCATCCACTGGGCCAGGCCCTGTCCTTGGTGCTGAGGATTCAGCTGTGATTGGGCAGACCTGGTCCCCACTCTCACAGAACTTATGTCCTATCAGGAAGACAGCCAGTAAGCAATAAACTGTGGAATATCTCCAGAGGGCAAAAGAAATAAAGTTTATGTAATAAGAGCAAATGGGAGGATCATGAAGAAGGTGCTTAGGGAACGCCTTTCTGAGGAGGTGACACAGGGGCAGAGACTAAGGATAAGGCAACAGAGTCAGCTAAGTAATACCAATGATGCTACACAGACGAACTCATGTACTCCTCACAACAACCTGTGAGGTCGGTACTATTATTATCCCATTTTACTGAGGGGGAAACTGAAACACAGGGCAGTTGGAATCATTTGCTCATGACCACACAGCTAAGAAGGGAGAGCCAGGATTTGAACCCAGCCCATCTGGGCTTCAGTAGCCTTCTCTTAATAACATGCTGTACTGCCTTCCGAGGGAAGTCCAACACAGGCATAGGGGCCTGAGCGGAGAGTGCGAGGATCCGTGAGGAGGCCCCTGTGGCTAGGGCAGAGTGAGCCAGAGAGAGAATGAGAGGAGAGGATGAGAGGTGATGAGGGCAGATGGTGTGGCGCCTCCTGGGCCACCAGGAGGACTCTGGCCTTCACTCTGAACAAGATAGAGCCACAAATGGGCTCCAAGCAGGAGACAGATGTCATCTGACTCAGGTGTTCACAGGGTCCCCATGGCTGCGAGTGAGGGGGCAGAGGGGAGCAGGGAGGAGGCTATTGGAGTGGGTGGGGCGGGGGCAGAGGGGGCAGAACGGTGATGATAGGAGAAGGGGGCAGATTCTGGGTAGACTTTGAATATGGAGCTCCCAGGATTTACTGACAGGTTGGTTGTCCAGGGAAAGAAGGGAGGAAGGGTCTACTCTGACTCTGAGGTTTGAGGCCTGAGCGCCTGAAGGATGGGGAGCGCTGGGGGAGGAGCAGGGTTTTTTGGGGAGGGAACTCCTGGCACTTTCCCGACTGAGCGTCCCTCGAGGGCCCCACTGCGTTGGCCTGACCCCTTATCCCTGTCTCCCCGCAGCCCTGTCCTGCCCTGCCAACAGTCGCTACGAGCTCTGTGGCCCGGCCTGTCCCGCCTCCTGCAACCCCACTGCTGCTCCAGCCAACTGCTCTGGGCGCCCATGCGTGGAGGGCTGCGCGTGCCTCCCGGGCTTCGTGGCCAGCGGCGG